ACCTGAATTTCCAGACATCAGATGTGTGCTCATTGCTTGTTCAGGGGTTCTTTAGTTTTCTGTCTTATATGAACTGCTGCTGTGAAGCTTCTGCATTTTCTAAACACACAAAGTGTTCTTATGTGGAGAACTGAGAGATTTTAGAAAATGCAATAAACAGCTCAATACATTTAATGTATGTACTCTTTTGGTGCGTATTTACCAGCATTTTTTGATTGGACTGGCACATGCAAGGAATTCAAACACCTCATATAATTCAAAGAAATTTGTTGTCAGCAGTTACCTTCAGCAAATACACTTTGATTTCTCCAAATGACAATATCTATTTTATTTGATTAAAAACTGCTCTCCATCTCTATCGGCATCTAATTACCTCCTCTCCCTCTGTATCTTCTTACTGATTTACCTCTTGTCTCAGCATTTCCTGTATTCTGTGAGGAATCTTTGAAGGACACAGCTAGTGATGCTATACTACTTATCCTGCAGCTATAAATGTTTCAGCACCTTGTCTGCATTCCTTGCTGTAAGGGAACAGTGTTTTTTATTTTCCTGTCTTGTGTTCCCCCAATGATCCCTAGATTTGATTTAAGAGAAAAATCAATGCCAACATTCTGAGGGATCCTATGGTACAATTTTTAATAGTCCCCCAAAGTGATTTGGCCTTGTTGTTCTAAAAAGAAGAAAAAAACCCCAACACATATGTAGTTATCTTGACTAGTGGCAGATTAAATACTCCTTGGGACAGTATTATATGTGCAATGGCACATTGGACCTCAGAAAGACCCGGAATGAAAAAAATGCCTACCAGGTCCAGTAATGGGTGGCCAGATACACATTTGGGATTGACTGCTTTTGGACAGAATTACTCTGCTGAGCTGTAATCACAGAATCACAGGGGCTAGAAGGGACCTCAGGAGATCATCTAGTCCAACCCCCTGCCAAAGCAGGTTCCCTACAGCAGGTTGCTTAGGAAAGCATCCAGGTGGGTTTTGAACACCTCCAGAGATGGAGACTCCACAACATCTCTGGGCAGCCTATTCCAGTGCTCCATCACCCTCACAGTAAAGAAGTTTTTCCTTGAGTTTGTATGGAACTTTTGGTGTTCCATTTTTTGCCCATTGCCCCTTGCCCTGTCACCAGCCACCACTGAAAAGAGCCCGGCCCCATCCATTTGACCCCCACATTTCAGATATTTATAGACATTGATAAGGTCCCCTCTCAATCTTCTCTTCTCCAGGCTGAAGAGTCCCAGCTCTCTCAGCCTCTCCTCAAACGACAGATGCTCCAGGCCCCTCTTCATCTTTGTGGCCCTCCACTGGACTTTCTCTAGAAATGATGCTACAGGGGCTGATACTAGCAAGCAGTCATTTTTGTGCAGGGGGTGACTGTACAGGTAATCCTTCAAAAATGTAGAAGAAAATAAGTTCCAGATGTTAAGGAAGAACAGTGGAACATTGAATCTGAGAAGCCTGTTTTCAAAGCTTGAGAAGAGATGGTTTAAAAAGATATTTGTTTCCTTTTGCAAACAATTATTTTTTTCAGGAAGATAATTTCAAAGCTCCACAGACCCTCTCGTAAAGCTCACCAATGTAATCAGAAATACTATGTTTAACTCCTGTTGTTTCCATATATCCTTAAAAAATGTCTCGTGTTCCTACAAGACCATTTTTATCCTCTCTTTTCCAACTCCAGCAAATATTGGACATTTTGATGCACAGCTTTTCTGTACATCATTGAAAATTACCTACACTTCTAAACATGGACCAGTGGCTTTCTGTGCAAAGTGGAATTCAACAAGCTTTCACAGGGCATTAAGGCATCAGGACAAAACTGAGTTGCTTGAGGGATCGTCATTCTGTTCCCTTATTTAGTGAACAATAGAGATTTATAGCACTAAATTTAACTAAATATAGAGCTTGCAGTACTATTTTTAGACTTTTTTCTGTGAAAAAGTGGCACATGTGATCACTCGGTAAATCAGTCTCAGGTCAGGTTGGTCAGGTTTGATCTAATTTGACACAGGATTGGAAGTCCAAAGCTAAAACCTTTGTGTAAATTGATTCTTGGTTGGCACAGAGGGATAGAGTATCTTCACTGATAAAAATAAATAAATAATTACATAAGTAAAGGGCCAGTTCTCTGCCATGGGGAAGGCAGTGGGGACCCCGCTGGGAACCTGGGGGACTGCGGACAAGAATGGCATTCATGGTGGGGGAGATGGGGCACCAGAAGGCTGCAGGGCAACAGTTCACAGCAGTGGAGTGACCCGGGGTAAAAACATGTGGGGGAAAAAGAAACTGTTTCTTTAATTCTCCTATTCAGGAAGCAAATTGTAAAAATCATTTAATCATTGGTGATGAAAAGCTATGGCTGCCCACCGAGACGTGTCAACATCTTACATAAATTTTCTTTTAGCACAGCACGTTGCTTGCAGAAGGATGTCTTGCTAATTAGTCCTAAAAGTTATGGGAAGTTTGTAATGTGCTCTTTTAACAACTAAATTGAATGACTCAAGACAGTAGAGTTATTGTATGTGTAAAAAATATCAGGATCAGGCTGTTAGAGTCTGCCAGTCATTCAGCTTTCTTAATTACAAAGCAAAATTTGTCCTGGAAAAAACCAAACAAACAGAAAGCCTTCACAAACCATCTCTTCTGTCTGTTCAGCGTGCTTGAGTCATTTCTAAATACATAAAGCCTTGGAACCCAAAAAGACACTGTAAAAAAAGAAACTAACTGAAACCATAGCTCTTGCCAGAGCTACTGTTCTGCATATATTCAGAGGCACACTACCGATGGGGAATCTCTCGCTGCATGGTTGGACTATTTGTCAGCCTAGATGAATAGGGAAAATGGGACAAAGAGATTTAATTAAGCTACTAAGAAGGCATATAGTCAAAGACCAGTAGCTGCACACAGTTTAGATTTAGGGGAAGCAATGACACAAAGTCTGGTGTTGAATGAACTGGTAAGAATTGGCTGAGCTCCACTGAACTCATGTTGTACCAGCAGAAAATCTGGCCTCTGTAGTTCCGATGTGGACAGTTATTTTTTCTCAGTCCACCTCATAATTAAAAAACTTACACACACCCCAGAAGAGATATTAATTCAGGTTCTCCTGTGTATCAGGTATGACACAGTTGTCTAATTATAATCAGCAGGCTCAAGTTGCAAACCCCAGAATTTCATGACTGGGGAGGTAGGCAGGAATTTATTCCCCATGTCCCTCACACCTTCCTCTAAAGTCAATTTTCTTTAACAGACAAACTTGCATCACATGGTTCTGACTATATGAAAGGGAACAAAAGGCTAGTATTCCTCTATAGGTTCTGCTAGCACTGGAGGAAAGTTTTTTGGTGTTCCTACACCTTGTGTGGGAGATGCAGCAGAGCTCAAGTCAATCTATTTACCCTGTCCTCAGAGGAAATATTTATGTTTTTATTGAACTGGAGGGTCAGGGGTCTTCAGTTTTACATACACAGTCTTACAGCTAAGATTAGTGAATTTCCCCAACACTTATCCTAGAAAAATAAAAACAGATTCCTTCTTCAAAAGTAGTAAAAAGATTAAAACAGTAATGTATCTTAGAAGGAAACAGTCAGGTGCATAATATTAAAATATTTGAGCTCTGCTAGTGCTGGTTTTCTGCATTTTATACTGCACTAGCCACAGAATACAATGTGGTTGTGCAATGGTATATTACACAAAATACCTTAAGCATTTAGTAATTTTGGCACGATTTTGATAATCTTTGGTAAACATGCAAACACACAGGGATCTAGATTCAAAATCAAAGCTATCGGGATTTTAAGAATAATTCGGAGTCCATCTCCTTCAGGTATTTTGAAAGACTGAGATTGTGACTGAAAAGACAAAAATATCCTATTTCTTCACTTGGGTCCTCAGAGTCTTTTCTTATTCAGATCTGTCTTCCCTTACAGTATTTTTGAGTCCACTGTCGATAACGGATACTGGAGTCTAGGAGCTTTCCAAGCTTTGGTGCCAAGAAGTGATCAGCAACAGTATCTTGAAAGCACAGTTGTAGATGACTTTATATATATGTACACACATATACAGATCAAAACACAGGAAAAAACATATCGAGTTGAGCAGAGCTCATCAGTATCTTATTTATTATCATGTATTTCTCCCCCTCCTTTTTCAGCAGCCCAGGGCACCATTGCAGCTGGGGATGAGCAGGTGCAGAGAACAATTACCCTATTTCCAGAGCTAATTATGGGCTTTAAATAGGAAGCCAACTTACTGGGGTAAAGAAACTCATAGCAATTGATTCTTAGGTGAGGGATAAGATCTTTTCATGTGACCCATCACAACTAATCTATTTATTTATTTATAATAAAGCATCGATGGTCAGTGTAACTCTCTTACCTAGTACAACGCAAAGAATATACAGAGGCCATACAGAGGGAGAAATAAATGCAAGCCAGTGAGATGCAGGTGAATAAGCTTCTTTATAATGGCAGCCTTATAGTTGTATTTGTAAAAGATATCTGCACCAGATACCATATTGGTATCTGCACCAGAACTGAATTCCTCTCCCAGCAAAAATTCAAAATCCTGCTGGCGGTTGTTCAAGAGAATTTTCCAATGCAAAATAAATAAATAAATACTCAGGCAAAAATACCTTACATGAAAAAATCTAGCTGAACTCCATTGTTTCAAAAGGCCTGTTCAAACCAAGATGCTTTACCTTTTAATATCCATTTATGCATGCGTGCAGGGAACCTACCAACTAATGAATCATATTTGTAAGTCTACTGGCTATTATATACTGCACTGTAAATTCCAACATTTTTCAGTTCTCAAGCTGACATGCAGAGCAAGTTAGAAATAAATCCTTCATTCTTACATTTTCCATTTTTCCCAACAGTTTTATTTCTTTGAAGTTCCTTTGACTTCTATATATATAAAATTCAAAAAAATAAAATAAAAAAAATGCCAATCTAAATCCCCAAACAAACAAAACAAACTCCCCTCTGCCAATAAAACTGTGCATTTAAAGGGAAGATGGGGAGATATCTGGGCTATAAAGCTATTTTTGTTCCAGCTACATCAGCTTTATCTAGTTATCTTGTTTGTTATGTGAACATTTGAAATTAAATTTCAGGTAGTTCTGTATCACATCAGCACAGGATGCATCATTAACTCTAAGAGGATGTTTTCCATTGGCTTCTGCTATTTTCACCAAATGTCAAGCCTTGACATTTGCTATCTTTATCTGGTTTTGGTGTATCACTCATACTGAGATTTTGTTTCTTCTTATCTGATATTGATTTCAACTGTGACCAGCTGTGTTGCTAATAAAATCAACAGGCAAGTATCTGGCATCTAGTTCTTCACCAGCAGAGGAAAAGAAACAATCCACTGACAAAAAAAGTAAAGAGATACTTTTCAATTAGGATGCTTGCCTGTATCCTCATCTTATCCATTTCTTAGCACTTGTGTTGATGTAGCATTTCTGATTGATTCCCTTGGGGAAGTCTCCATGGAAATCCTTGCCTCTCAGATGAAATATTCCTTTTTGCTCTCATCCACTGCTTCCTGGAGAGCAGGGTCATTTTTCAAAGCGGCATCTGCGCTTTCGGCAAACTCAGTTCCTTTTGCTTCGTTGGTGTGGTAGGTGCCCTTGTGCCTGTACATGTACCGGACCATCACCACCAGCAGGCAAATGAGGACAAATACCACTGCAGCAATCACACCTAGAGGAAATAAACCAGTTAAATGTATTGTCAGTAATAAACTCTGAGCACTATCTCACAATCAGGCATCACAACTTGAATTACTTGATAGGGAAAAATCCATGTATCATAAGATGTTTGCATGTTGCAGCAGCCAGGGTCAGAACAGAGTCTTGACACTGCAAAAAACAAGATGTGATACA